TCTGTCCCGCTAAGATTGTCTCATCTTTCATTTTGATCTGTCCCACTATAATTGTCTCATACCAAATTTGGTATAATTTGTGTGGTTCTTTATTATTCCTAGTCTATGGAGATGACATCGGCGCATGGGGGCGACCGCGGCGACGGGGGAGGCATGTGCTGCGGAGATTGGGGCAGCGGGTGCCGCAACAACGGGAATGACACGTGCCGCGGCAACGGCTAATGGCTATAGTTTTTAGAAAATGGAAAATCACATATGGTCCCCCAGTTATCCACGAAATTAAAATCTCAGACCAGTATTTCTAAGATTGTAAATGTCACCCTCAATTGTCCAAATTGTTGCAAATGTGGTCCTTTAAGTAGTGAAATGTACTCTCGTCCACATTGTATATTTCACCACTCAAAAGGACCACATTTACAGCACTTTGGACAATTGAGGGGTGACATTTACAATCTAAAAAGTACGAGTTTGAGATTTTAATTTCGTGGATAACTGAGAGACTATATATGCGATTTTCCCTTTAGAAAATGAGCAGAAAGTTAGAGTTTTATAATATTAATCGAAGGGCATATTATGACAAAAAGAAATGTAAGGACAAAGTAGTCCATAAAAATATTTATTTATTTATTAGATTGTCATATTTAACGTCTTTATATTGAGAAGCTTCCAGACAAGTTTAGAAAGGAATCGCGTGAAGCATTTCGCGAACCTAGAGCCTGCTAGAACTCATATCCCTTCTTCGATTTTTCCAGGACCATCTTTTCCTCCGCATAAAGATCTAACGTCTTCGTCGCAATTCAGTCATCACAATTCACAAAAAAAATCTCTCTTCGAAAACTCTATCTGAAACGCTACTGCAGAAATTCTGACAAAATGGATCTCAGGATGATGGGCTTTGATCACCCGCTTTTCCACCACATGATGGAGTACGCCACCGCCGCGGACGACAAATCCTCCAATAGCAACGCCCCTTTGAAGACCTTCGTTCTCGACGCGAAGGCAATGGCGGCGACGCCGGCGGACGTGAAGGAGTATCCGAACTCGTACGCCTTCATCATCGATATGCCGGGGCTGAAGTCCGGCGACATCAAGGTACAGATCGAGGATGACAATGTCCTGACTATAAGCGGGGAGCGGAAGCGTGAGGCGGATGAGAAGGAGGGCGTGAAGTATTTGAGAATGGAGCGGCGGGTGGGCAAGTTCATGAGGAAGTTCGTGCTGCCGGAAAATGCGGATCTGGGGAAGATAACCGCCGTCTGCCACGACGGAGTGCTGAGTGTGACGGTGGAGAAGGTGCCGCCGCCGGAGCCAAAGAAGCCAAGGAGCATTGAGGTCAAAGTTGCTTAAAATTAATATGTAGACCAGGCACAGTACTGTGACCACTCTGTTTCTCTTGTAGGAACAGAGTATTTGATGATGTTTCTTTCCTTTTTTTTTGGATATGATGATAATGGGAATGTTGAGTTCGTGATGTGAATGTTCTATGGAGTTTCTTTTTCGATTTAAATTTTAATTACGTTTTTTATATTTTAAATCACATTAATAATATTTGTCTTAAATTGAAAAAATAAGACTGGACATACGGAGTAATAGTTTTTTTGAAGGACGGACTGACGGAGTAATAGTTTTTGTCTTACTTGGTAATACAACGCATTAATAAAAGTGTTAATGAGCTGAGCCGAATGGTTTTGGCTCAATTCGGTAATATAGGTTCGAGCTCGAAGTTTATCCCATTTTACAAATGAGTTGATTGGATAAGCTTGATAAATATACTTGAACTTTAAATTGTAGGTGATGCTCATTAATAAGTCTCTGATCAAATTATTCAACATATATTCATATGTTATTAACCATATTTAAATCAGAAATTCATGCTAATTATGTTTTAATCTTTATACATGTATAAATTATAAATTATTATACTTATAATTTCAGGGTGTTTGGTAAATTGGAGCTCGAACCACGCCGAATAAATTTGTTCAAACTTAAAACTGAGTTCGGGTTTGAATTTCAAAGATCGCTAAACTCGACTCGTTACGATCGAAATCGACCATGAAATTGAATACTGTGACAAAGCTCAGTTCGTATAGGCCTAGTCTGAACACGGAATTGCACTCTCCTTTGTGTAAAATCATCCACAAAACTGAATCGCCTTACTTTAGGGATGCAAAAAACCTCTCCGAATGTCCAAGGCTTTGAGTCAATGAAGCAATTGCTCCAATACTTCTTGTTCAAAACCGTTGGCCAAAAGTTAACCTATTCGGAAAGAATTACACATGGAACTAGTGATTTTATGAGATTTGGCTATTGTATTTTCCTCGACAATAATCTCTTTTTTTGTTGTCTAAACGAGTAAATGCCTACCTACACTTTCCTGCTCTAATATTACATTGGTCTAATACTCGAGCAAATGTCTAAACGAGTAAATGCAAAGCTTGAATACTACGAAGTCGCCAATGTAGTTGGTGAAACATATTGGGTATACAATCTCCTTTCTCAGCTTCATTGGTCTTAACATATGTCTCCATAGGGCATTGTGATAATATAAATACTGTATATGTCTGACAATCCCGGTCAACATCAACACACTAATCATATTGAAATGGACATCCAATATTTTCGGGAGAATGTTGCTCACGACCAATTTCGTGTACTCCATGTTTCGTCTCGTCATTAGTTTTGAGTAGTGCTGGACTCGGGTCGGGCGGCCCGAACCGGAACCGGCCCGGCCCGGTGGCCCGGTCCACCGGCGGTTCGGGTCGAACCGGCCCGATGGATACCGGTTCCGGGCCCGGGCCCTCCATTTGGTGAACCGGCCCGGCCGGTTCGGGCCCGGTCCGGGCCGGAATAATTTTTTTTTTATTTTTTTTGAAATTTTTTTATTTTTTGGGTTGGATTAGGTATTTTGGGCCATTTGAGGTGGTTTGGGGTGGTTTGGGGTGATTTGGGCCATTTGAGGTGGTTGAGGGGGAGAGGTAGGGGGTTAAATAAGAGAAGCCAAAAAAAAAAAAAAAAAAAATGGGGCGGGTGAACCGGCCCGGTCTGGCCCGGAACCGGCCCGGAACCGGTCACCGCCGGTTCGGGCCCGGGCCCTCCTTTTGGTGAACCGAGTCCAGCCCTAGTTTTGAGATGTCTATAGTGAGGGTTTGTGGCCTTTTTTATTTGATGGTTTCCGTACCAGTCTCATCGTTCTACCTCCTTCTGCTTCTATTTAGGGGCGTAATAGCACACATATACTTTTCCATATGTTCACAAGTAGAATTTATATGCATCCATGTAGCACTTCTGCATGTGATACAAGCTGCAACCACCTGAACATAGTTCTCCTCACTTTGTTCTTTATTTATGAGATTTCCTATTCCTATTGATATTATCGGCACTAAATATAACTTGGCTGTTATTTTAAATCAAATAACCATTTTATTGATAATCAGTTCTTAACAAGAAACATAACAACTAAAAGCCGAAGCATTACAATCATAACATTCAATATTACACTAGGGTGAGACAAAGAACAAAAACGCCATATAAAAGCACTCATGTTCGCTAACCCTGCAATAATGTAGACTCGTAACGCATTGTGTCTGTTCATGCTACTCGAAATGGGTTCGGCTTGACCAGCCGCTGAAAAGGAATTATTGAACTTACCGGTTTTTCCAGCCACCAGTAAGGAGCCAAGTGCAGAAATTATTCCGGTTTGACCAGCCACCGGAAAGAAAGCAATCCATCCAATGTCATCTTCCTGGATCGGCGGTGGTTCAGGAGGGGGGCGATCAGCCTCTATATCAATGCTAAAGAAATCCTGATTCATAATTGATAAAGAAGCCAATACAAACCTCTCACTAGCACACAACAACACCCGACCGATGATGGCGGGGAATATAGATCTGGCGAGCGACACTTCGCCCCCAAAAATAATATCTCTAGACAACGTTAGAAAATAAACCTATAGATAAAATTGAAAATACTGATCAAACGAATCTTTTTCCATGATTGAAGTTAAAAGAAGAGAAGAAAAGAATGAAGGAAGAGGAGGCGGCGGCTAGGTTTCCCTTTGCCGCTCCTCTCTCCCCTCGTTAGAGATCTTTACTTGGTACTCCTTATCAATATAAATGGCTGTTTTTTTACAACATATAACTAGCGGTTAGACATTTGAATTACAAAACAACTCATAGCTTGTGTTGTTAATTGAACTTTGAAGCACATCGCAGGTGAAGACTCAGAAAATGGCAAATTTTCTTGAAAGTGTGAATAACTCAAAATGTTGGATTTATGATCAATTACTCTCTTTGTCCCATGAAACTTGGTCAATTTTTTTTACCGTCCTAAAGAACTTTGTCATTTTCATTTAAAGTAAGGAATATGTAATTAAAATTATTTCTCTCTTCTCTGCACAAATTTCAACCACATGTATACTTTTACTTTATTAATCTATGTGCAAGTCAACTTGAGTCAAGTTTAGTAGGACAGATGGAGTATGAGTCCGGAATATTTAGAATGGGGGGTGTATGATAAAATAGCATACAAATGAAACGACCAAATAAAAAGGATTCTATGATATAAAAAAGGGAGAACTATTAATTTGGTCCTCCAACTTTTATGAAAAAGTCAATTAGATCTTCATACTTTTAAAAAAATCAACTAAATCCCCGAACTTTGTAAAAACGTTCAATAAATTACAGTTGCAGGTTACTTGTCATGTCAACATGTCACTTGTTGGCGTGGCACACACATGCCGATCCACGTGTGCGTCACGTCATCAGCAAATGGCTGACTGGACTTCCACACGTGTGCCACGTCAGCAAAAATATTGTTGACTACTTGACTGAGCTGTCACATGTGCGCCACGTCAGCGAGTGACCTGCTGACATGACAAGTAACTTGCAAATGGACTTAATTGAACATTTTTATAAAGTTTAAGGATTTGTTCGATCTTTTTAAAAGTATGCGGACTTAATTGATTTTGTCATGAAAATACGAAGACCAAATTGACTGCCAATTTCAGGCCTACCCTCCTGCTGCAACTCTGCAAGCACCGAAAATGCTGTATCTGCACCTTTCTTTCTATACGATCACTTCTCGTTCCCAATATTTTGATATTCAGTACACATTTTCAACGTTTCTTATGATCAAACTACTCCGTCGTATTTACGGAGTATTAATGTATTATACTTTTCTTATACTCAATACTCTGTATATATCATCTTTTACTGTTAATTTTTTTTTTTGAGATTACGGAGTATTATTCTGTTAATATTACGGAATATTATGATAATATTACGGAGTATTTTATTGTCATCATTACTGTATGCATGATGCCTTCCAGTGAGTATATAAACCCGACGCGATCACCATGTGTTCGGATTTTCAAATTCTTACGCCTTTCTTCATTCATTCGGTGCGAAACATTGTTCTCTTTGGGGTCCGAATCAATTATCCAATCTTGAATATTCTCAAGATTACAAGGTACCATTTACGAGAGAAAACCCTGACTTCTCTCAGTTTTTCGTCATTTCTTTTACTTGTAATCATACATGGGTGTGTATCTTTACTTGCATGTATGAGGGGGTTTAGGGTTTATCTAAAATTTGATGGATAACTAAGTGGACTCTGAGTCTTTCATTCGTTTTTAGATTATAACGACAGAAAAATGTTCAAGGGTTTTGCTCTGGTTTAGAAATGTGATTTCTGGAGAAGTCGGACTAATTCAAATAGGAGTTCTGGAAATTTTCATTATGCTTTAATTTTGAACTGATTAACTGAGCCTTCTTGCTTTGTCTGAAATAATCGAGTGAATTGATAGGGTGCAAATCAAGGTTTTGACTAGGAGGTTGTGAAATGGAGAGAGGGACGGAAAGGCCAAGCCATGAAGTGGTTGGGAATGAAGAAATTAAGGAAGTTGATGAGGTTTCTGGGGCTCCAAAAGATGGCATTACTTCAGAAGAGATGGAATCAGATATGGGGGGTTCTGAAATTTTTTGTGCCAATAACCATCTTACAGGGTTTGAAGAAACTGACCCTGCTAAGGATGGTGCAGTTAATCTGGATTGTGAACATCATACTCGGAAGACAGGGTGGAGAATGCGAGTATCATCAGATGAAGATGATGAAGATGATGTAATAGTTGTGGCTGAAGTTAAAGGGAAGGGAAAACAAGTTGAACAAATGAATACACATGAGGTACATGAAATATCTAGTGATGATGGAATGGAGATGGAATGGGAACCAGAAGTTAAGAACACACCTACATATAGAAGTTTTGTTCCTGGGGTTGGAGAAATGGAGATGAACAGTAGGCTTGGAGGTGGCAATACATGGGGTGGTGCACGGAGATACACTATAGAAGAAAAAGGGAAAGCTAAAGTTGACGGTTCTTCGCAATCACTAGCTGCCAGTAAGCAGACTCAAATGGATGCCATACCTGAGGGACAGGTAATTGGAAGACGAAGAAGAACTTTATGGTACAGACAATTCCATAATCTGGAATCGGAGGAAAGCTCTGAATCTGATTCGGAATCGGAGGAAGATACCATATCTGAGGGACAGGAAAATGGATATCAAAGAAGAACCATATGGCCCAAATATTTCTATAATGTGGAACCGGGGGAAAGCTTTGGATTTCATTTGGAATCGGACCAAGATACCTTTTTAGCAGTTTCAGCCTTAGTAAAACTAGCAAGGGAGGAGGCAGCTAACAAAGCTGCAAGGAAAGTAGGTGTGGTAAGGCGATATGCATATAAAGATAGAGCTCATACAGTTACAAGTGACATGGCACGCCGAATTGCGCGGTCCAATCATCAGGAAGTGGATAACGATCTATCCTCTTCTGGGTTGAAAGAAAAGTCACCACCCATAGAAATGTTTGAAGAGTTAGGAAGCTCTCTTGATCCCTTTTCTACAGCACTGAAGATGGTCAAGGAGCGAGGCCTAAAGAAGAAAACGAATTTATCTCATAATCCTGTCCTTAACCTTAATCATTCTACCCCTCGTGTTCCTACACTACTAAGTCTTTCTTTGAAAACTCTTGCACAAAATGCGGGAGCTTTGGTTTCGCTTGAGGGAATCCCTTGTAATCTGAGGAAAAGACTCACTGACTTGTTATGTGATTCGAGGAGAATGAATAAGCATATGCTGAACCTTCTTTTAAAGGGATCCCCGACTGAGATCAGGATAAAAGACTGTTCATGGTTGACTGAGATTGAACTTTCTAAATCATTCCTTGACTTTGATGGGAAAATGTTGATGGTAACTTGTTATTTATTTTCATTTTAACCTTGTTTTAATGTTACTCAAAATTTGATTTGGAAGTGTGAGAGAGAAGAGATTGCATCAAATTTCAATGTTTTAAAAATGTTCTTGTAATTTTATGACCTCGGTTAGATATCATTGATCCTCCTTATATCCCAAATAAACTTCATGCTGTCAATTTAACTTTCTTTCAATCTCTATATTTTTGTGTCAAACTTTTATTTAAAATCCTTCTAATACTTTTTTTCCTTTCCCATTTACCTATTTTTAAAGCTTATTAGTCATTCGACCCGGGGGGAGGGGGGGCAAAGAATGGAATTATTAATTCTAAAGAATTTTCAAAATGTTCTTGCCATGTTATGACCAGTCTTAATGATTATGGATACTCCTTTTGTGCCAAAATATATTTTGAAAGTTACTATTCTTATGGTCAGTTTATCATCCTTTTGATCTCTAAATTTATGTCTCATACCTTTTTCATATTAGGGAGAATTACCTCAATTAATTGTCAGACATCATAAACCCCAAAACAAATCAAATATGAAAGAGAGATGGCTTTAAAAATGTTTATCCTCTTACCTAGTGCTTAAAGGAGGCCTTAAGTCCTTAACCTTCTGAACAATTTCCCGAAACAGGTTCTTCAGCTTGACCTTTGTGGGCAGGGCATGACTGATCATGTGTTGGCTAGAACCTTTGTTAGATCTTCTATTGGTTTTCCGAATTTGAGAATTCTATCTATAAAGGGTGCATGCCGTATAACGGATAGTGCATTAACATCAATTGTAGCTTCAGCGCCATTTCTGCAGTCAATTAATTTGGGACAGTGCTCTCTTCTTACACACATGTGTATTGAAATTATATCGAATTCACTGGGTGGACTTCTTAAGGAGCTTTACATCAATGAATGCCTAATGATAGATGTTATGAGTGCTATCCCTGCTTTAAAAAAATTGAAATGTTTGGAAGTGTTGTCAGTTGCTAGAATTCAGACCGTATGTGACAAGTTTGTTTCTGAAATTATGGAGGGATTTGGTCAAAATCTGAAGGAGCTTGATCTCTTTGACTGCGAGTAAGTTCATAATCTGGTCTGGTTAAGAGCTTGTTTAGTTTCACAATTTTTAGGGAATGGTAGGCGAGGTTTGGGACTAAGGCTTGGATGTTGTTGTTGTTGTTGTTGTGGGAGGCGAGGTTTGATTCTTATTATCTGAAATTCTGAATATATCTCCATTGTTAGTTTGTTTTACTAGAAATGATGATATGATTATTTTGATCACGTTCTCTATATTTTGTTATCTTTATTTTCACTTGAATAATCTAAATGTAAAAATAATTTTAAAAAATAGTATTACTCCTCCCAAATCCGAGAACCAGACAAGCCCTAAACGACTTCTTCAACACCAATCTCTTCTTTCTTTGTATCATAACCAAGCTATTCCCCTTTTGCTGCTGCAGCAACTTGACTGACTCTTCTATGAAGGCTATAGGAGATGCATGTGCAAATTTGCGCTCATTAAATATTTCAAACCTACAGAAATTGACAGATAGAGGAATACAGTTTCTCACTAATGGTTGTAGATCAATTCAAAGGCTCTATCTTCAACGCAATGATTTTAGGTCAGTTCTTTTACAGCCTGTGGATTCATCTTCAGAACTTGTGCATTAGCAGCCATTATTCTGTTTCTATAAGTCATTGATTCCTATGATGTGGTTGTCTTTTAATCTGCTACGGAGTCTGAATTTATTTCATTCAAATCTGCATAGTACATTAAAATTGAGTGATTCCTTGTTATAAATGAAGCCCAGTTTAACTTGTGCTGAATGTTCTATTAGCATTTTGTGGCATATCTGTTTATGATCAGCTCATGCCTTACTGAATGTTACATTAGTCTCTTATGTTTACTGTTTGATATTTAAATGCAAGACTCATTTTATGTTGCAAATGTTGATTTTCGTCTTTTAATCTTAGCGTTTTCATTACATTCTAAGTGATGAGGCTCTTGCTGCGTACATTGAAGCTTCTGGACAGTGTCTGAAGGAACTTTCCCTTAATAATTGCTCCAAGGTAAACCTCTGGATTCCCAAATGGTGCAGTTTTGTTTTGTAAACTGATGTTGTCTGTTTATTGAATTAATTACTCCCATTTTCATGGCAGAGTTTTTTTTTTTGAGATTTTGTAGGTAAACCTCAACACTGCATTGTCACTTGCCAAATGTGCAAGAGAGTTGGTATTTTTGGACTTATCTTGGTGTCGTAGAGTAAGTGATGAGGCTCTAGGGCTGATTTTAGACAGCTGCCCCCTGAAGCTGGTCAAACTATTCGGCTGCACACAGGTCAGCTTTACCAGAAGATGTTTTTGAACAAACTGATGCACCTATAATCCTAAAAAACTAAAATTGACCGCATAGTTGTCTCTCTAACAGATCACAGCTTCATACGTGCACGGTCACCCAAACTCGACAGTGCAAATTGTTGGGTTGAATTTAGCACCCATAATGGACAACATTGACCAACTTGAACCACCGGATGTTTTACTGCGCTATTCACCTCTCATGCCATTTCCTGGTCAGAGCATTTGATCAAGCCTATTGTCATATGTTGGATTGATTGAAAAGATAAAGCTATTTTTCCTTGGGCTTGCTTCTTTTGGTCGTACATAACATACATAGTTAGTTGTATAGCTGCGAGCCTGGGAGAATGTATATCCTGCACTGTTTTCATTTGAGTAGAAATTTTAGGATCAAAGTATTGATTGATCATATTGTTGATTGTGTATGCTATAGCTTTTGGGACAGAGATACAGTTCACAGCCCCCTTCCTGCTAAGGCACAGAAGCATTACATACAGTTAAGAGAACTCTTGGAAGTGGAAAGGATTATAATCAAGTAATACAATACTCGGACTACACTGAATTCATAGATTTAACTAGTATTAATGTATTTGTTTCTTTCAACTCCTAGAGTCCTAGATGGCTACATGCGTCTCTATTTAGAAAATAAATTAATGTCATTTGCATAAGTCTATTAGGAAACTTTAAATTCGCTATTTTATAGTTTTTTTGGAGGTTAATATGGTACGGAGAATTTGACTTTGCATCTTACTCCAATTCATACTTTTTGGGCCCAAGGGTCCACACATTAATGGTTTTTAAAACAAGTATAAATGATCTTCTAGAAACTAAAAGTACCTTTTTAATGACATGACAAAGAATTAGAGAAGTTAGGATTGTTTTGTTATCAAACAGAGGTTGATGTGATCGGTGATGAGATTAAAAAGAAAAGTAGCATCAATTATGGATATGAAAAACAAATAAAATCTGTAGGGATGTAAATCAAGAAATGCCATATTTACAATGACTAAAAACATATTTAAATAAAATTTACTAATTTATATATTCATATTTACAAAACTACGTAGCTTTTAATTTTCATAAAGGGGCTCAAACTGTATTTTTCTACAATTATACTTTCAATGATAACAATGTTTAAGAAAAAACTTGTTTGAATATCATATTTTTATATTTTTGCTAGTTTTAAGGTGAGAAACAAGAAAGATGATCTCATTTCTGCAGATTATTTATTGGCTAGAAAGTAGCACTTCACATTATTCTAAATTCATCAAATTACGAGGCAAAACATATGAATTATAGAACTATAAAGGTGAAACTGACACATACAACTATATGCTCCGTATAATTTTCCCAATAGTAAAATTAAGGGAAAATGGAAAATAATAACCTTTTAACAGTCTTCTTACAATAGTCCCACATTTTCGTTATTCAAGAAAAATCCCACCTTAGCTAAAGCGCATGTTAGTTCACCAGATCATGTTATGGAGTATGTGGCGGTTCCGGATTGTATTTATAGCCGTTTGGCGCATGATATTTTGATTTAATATAATGAGTATTTGACGATAATACTAAAAAAAAGAATAATCCCACCTTTGCACCATATTTTCATTCACTGGTCCCTGACCGGTTAATGACCTGTTATTCCAAGTTATTTTCTTATCTTTGCAAAATATCATCTTTGTGAAATGTGAGTTTTATGGTATAATGTTTTGCAAAGATAAGAAAATAACCTGAAATAGCAGGTCATCAACCGGTCAGGGACCAGTGAACAAGATGAAATTTTGTTAAATAATAATAATTTATTTAACTGACATCTAATTGAATTTTCAATTGAAATTTTGTGGACATAATCTATACTCCAAAGAGAACACGCACATAGTTTAAAAAAAAAATCCACCCAAAAGAACCTCAAGAAATTCAACCTGAAAAATTATTAGTTTAGGACCTGGAAAATAGTCTACTCACACTTATTATAATGAACTAAAGCTGGATCTAATTGTTTTTCAATTTTTTGGGCCTAGGGCCGCCCCTGAAAACATTGATAATATGAATAAACTTGTTATTTCACAAATTAGTAACAATGTTATTTTATACTACCGCCTAAGTTTGGGACAAGAGAAAGTGACACGGTTATTAATAAAAATAGGTTTATGTGGTTGATATTGAATTGATAAAGTAAGAATAAAGTAAGAATGTTTTAGACCACACAGATTTTACCAAATAAGGTATGAGACAATCATAGTGAGACAGACCGAAAAAGTAAAATGAGACAATCATAACGGGACGGAGGGAGTATTATTTTTTGAGATCTTGTCAGAGATATTTTTAAACATAAATTAGTATACAAGATTAATTTTGTAAGATCTGATTTAAGTTCATGCTAAGTCATGAATAAAAATAAAGTTAAATAATTAATAAATATATTGGCAAAAAGTATTGATATTGATATAAGTTTGTAAGTTTGGAAAATTAAAGCAGACAAGTAAAATTGGCAAAAAACATTATGTCTGTGTCTTTTGTTGATACAAGATAAAGTGTGGATGAAGTTGTAAATAAGCTACTACGTAAAAAATTAATCAATGGCAATAGTTTAATTTAATTTATTAATAGTAATAAAAAAGATAATTATAAATACATATTCTATAATAAAAACAACTACTAAATAAACTTAATAATATAGTCCTAATAACTAGATATTACAAAAAGTTGTATTGTATTCAACTTAGATCGGTAAATAATGTGACTTGCAATATTGAGGATGGGAGTGATCGAGAAGTGATTGGTGGTTGGTGTGTAGCATATAATGGGCACACAATTATTTTTTACCCAAGGAAGTAGGATGTCGAACCACAGAGAAGCGGGAAATAAAATAATTAAGCACAAACTAAGGATTTAAGTTGGGAGTGCGTTTCTTTTGATTTTTTTGGTTGCTTGGAAAAGTAATAAAATAAAAGTGATTGAGATGAGAGATTTTTATCAACACAAAGTTCAACCAATAGCAAGTAGGGGTAGAAATTGGTAACTAATTGTTCAATATTTAATTGAGAGACATAATTGCTAATTTTATTCTTAGATAGATTGTGAGAAGTTGTAGATAAATATTTTAGGACCCAACACAAGTCATCTAAAATAAGTAACTAGTCAACATTTCCCAGTGATGGCCAAAATGAGACTGGTTGTTTAAGTGCAACGACAACCTTAATTATTAACTATATTATTTACCCAACCCCGTGGTGTAAATAATATAATTAAATAATTAAATTCTCCCGTAAAACTTCAATCTGGGACAAAGTAAAAGAAGTTTAACAGTGTGTTCAGAAAGTGTTCATTTGTGTATTTAACAAACAATATGTTTATGATTGAATACTCATAATATATATATATATATATATATCACAAACATAACTTAATTAATTTTCTGGACACAACAATCTAAATAGAACAAACTTAACAATTAAAATCAATACAAATTAAAACATGATAAGAACAATTAATTAACCAATTTCTAGCCCCAAATTTATTTAGCTATACATGTTTGGAAGCATAGAAATAGATGAATCCATAATTAAAGTACAAGATTTAATGAGATAAGGAAGATCAAACTTGTGATAGATGACAATCCTTGAAGCTTTGGTGCTAATCTTGACTTAACCTTGGATAAGGAAGTGATTAGTTGTGGTTGAAGATGGGTTGATGATTTGAAGGTGAAGAATGAAGAGAGGAGGAGAAAATGATTCTGGGAGGTGTAGAGAGAAGTTGGCTCGAGATTATGTGTGGAAGGAGATGGATTAAGCCTTAGGGTTGGTTTGCAACTGCTTTTAAAAAAGCACTTCTCAGCTTTTGGCTTTAAAAAAGCACTTATTTTCCCAAACACTACAACTTTTATTTTTCTCGGCTTCCGCGTCAAAAGTGCTTTTACTTTTTCTATTACACAAAAAGCACTTATTTTACCAAACACTACCCACTTTTACTTTTCGAAATCACTTTTTTCCCAAACATCATCAACTTTTATTTAATCACTTCTCCCCATTTCATTAAAAAAAGCACTTTTTTAAAAGCAGAAGCTGTTGCAAACAGACCCTTATAATGATAAGATGATTAATCATTAATGGCTGGAATTTACGGAAACGATGAGTTTATATACCAAAAGACGTATGAAGGAAATCAACAAGTGACTTTGGCGCAGCGGGAGTTGATGCTTGGACATTTCATGGCCTCGGAGTTCGTGGGTTCGAACTCGTGCTTAGACTTCTTTATTTTCTTCTTTTCCTTGCTGAGATGAGATGTAATTAAATAAATCTTCAGCTCACTTATCTCAACTTTGACGTTCAGCTCACTGGTTCAGGAGCCCTCAATTTACCTTGGTAGCTTGGGTTCGAATCTCACCTCCACTTTTTTCACTTTTTGCTTCCTTTCTTCAATGTACTCCATATTTGCTTTGAAGGAGATTCCACTTTTGTTGTCTTCCAACTTGAACTTTTATTTTCTTCTCTTGTTCACACTCAAATGTATCCAAATAGCATCAAAAGTACCTGAAAATATAAAATACCCGTATAGAATTGCACTAACACAAACTAACATCAAATAATAAAAATATGTACAAAGATACAACTTTATTAACTAAAATTATTAACAAACTAAGCCTAAAAAGTGTGTAAAATATAAGCATATCAGTGGTTGATGGAATGATGATTGGTGATGATGGCATTGTGACTTTAGATTAACATTTGGCTATACAAATGTAGTTAACATTTGGCTATACAAATTTGCTAGGTGTATACAAAGACTTACTACCTTCATGGCTTCATCCTTGAATTATCTTCCAAATAAGGTTTTACACGAGGACTAAAAAAGTGAGAATCGTGTGGTAGAAAATGTGCAAATGAGGGAGAAATGTATAAGAATATGTAAGAAGTGATGGAACCGCATATTCTTTGATAAAAAAGGAAAGAGAAGATTATTTTGAGATGAACGAAAAAAGAAAGTTGAAAGATAATTCACAGTCAGAGGGAGTATATCTTTTGTACACAAATATCGATCACAGACAAGTGATGCACTGACACACAAAGCTGCATGTGCAGTGGGCTGGGCACATGTAACTATGTAAGGCAAGAGTTCTATATTCACACACAACTCTGATCTATGTCGACGAACCTTAATTTTCGTGCAAAAAAGGTACGCTAAAAGACGCCTAACACTAGCGTGCAAATTAAACCAATCTCATTGTGTACATTGCATGTGTGCACAAATAATAATTGTATGCGCATAGACTATTGTTTTATGTGAACAAAGTGTGGATTTTTAGATAGATTTAATCACACAAAACAGTTGTGCGCTTGAAATTAAATGACATGAAGTGACTAATGATATGTAATGACTGGGGAATGATATAGAATATGTTATATGACGAATTGGATGGTAAAGGAAACAAATATCAGTATGGGGAAATAAGATTGAAGATAGTCCTCATCGACCTCATTTGAGAAGCATTTCCATTTGAATGACTTATTTCTGCGTATTTCAGTTGGGATAATTATTTCTTTCATGATAGT